GGGTCTCGCTCTTGCTCAGGCTGGTTTCGAACTCCTGAGCTCAAGCAATCCGCCTGCCTCGGCCTCCCAGAGAGCTAGGATTACAGGTGTGAGCCACCGCGCCCAGCCTACAACTATATTTTTAACAGTGAACTCCTCCTTGAAGTTGTAATGTGACCTGAGCTATACATGGTATAAGGATGTGACCCATGGCTCACAGGTCTCCCCACAATGAGCACCCCAGCACCCCCTGAAAACATGGCACTTAATCTGGGAATGTAACAGAATAATAGAAATAGAACTTCTGAGTTTCTAATGACATATTGGAGACAAGGATACAGGAAGGTAAAGTTCTCCCAAATTAATACACCAGAGAGAACAAAGGCAGGGATAAAGCAAAGAAATCTTATAAGCAGAAAGACTCAAAGATTGGAACAGGTAAATAGGGAGAAAGATACTATGTAATCCAAGGCATTTTACAACAGGGAGAAGCGTTCTGATTTGTGGGTGAATAGAGATTATACATATCTATCCTGTTGTTAGATCACATTATTGGAAATATGTTAACATAATGTGGTGAATAATTATAAAACAAACTACATTACAATGTAGCAATCTTATCCATTCATCTCTGTTGTATTCATGGCTGGGATATGAAAAATGAATTACATTATACAGTCATGGTTTTCATCTCACCCCTCTGTTGCTCTTTAATCACATAACAATTGTCTTGTTAATGAATCTCAAAGCTATTAACATTGGCTTTCCTTAGGCCAAGGCTGTGCTTTGGAAGTGTGGCTTCTCCCTTCTCCTTTCGGCAGACACTTGGCCCCTTGAGGCTTCTCCTTATTCCCCTGTTCCAAGAGGAGCACCCTCTGGGGAGAGCCTTCCCACTGGGAAAGGATGCAAAGCACTATGTTTGTCCAGTCTCTCACTGAGTTCCACATCCAAGCTGGCTCTAAGATGAACCTTTCACATTTATTGAGGGTGACTATTTCCAGAGGAAACTAAAAGTTATTTTTAACACACCAAAATCCAAATTTGGGTTTTCATGTTTTTTCCTGCAGTTGTAGAATCTATCACCTTGAGGTAATTTTTAATCTAATTCTCTCTGAACCATAAAGAAGTCCTACAAGTCTTAAAATAGGTAGGCCAGAGAGTAATTGTCATTTAGGTGAATGGGAAACCAACAAAATTGTAATATTTTGCCATTCTTCTAAAGAATCAGAAAATGCTACTCAGATTCACACCCTAATGCATCAAGGACTAAAGACTTCCAACTCTTTTACTACAGACTGTCAGCCCAGTTCTGTGTTTTGTAGACTTTCATTATCTCTGCAGTGATTTTGTCTTTGTCTCTGAAAGAGCAACAAGATTCTTGACCTTTCCTGTCTAGCAACACTCCTGTCCTTTTCTTTGTACCTTTTGAGTCGAAGTTACAAGTGTGCCCATCCCCCAGGTAGTGTGCATTGTACACAGTAGGTGAAGCAATTTACTTGATCAAAACATTTATTACTTCTGTACATCTGTAATATTCAGAAATTAAAAAAATACACTA